CCACTGTAAGTCTTTTACGCTTTGAATATTTTTTTGAAAGATTTCTGCAGCAGAGCTGAAAAAGGAATTCAGATTTCCTAAGCTTGTGGCCCATGGATATCACCCCAAGGCCAACCCTCCTTTTTTATCTTCAGGCTTTGAAGTGCAAAGATTCATGTACACAGTGAGGCTTTGAACGCTGGCAGAGCTAAAAGATGTAATGCAGGTGGAAACAACCCAAAGTCTGCTCTTGTGTCAAGCTGGGTATGAAATCCTGAGATACTACAAGAAATGATCCAGCAGACCATGACATGCTTCCCTAGTTATCTGTCTTAGGCATTTATGTGTGGTGTAAATACCTGCATTGCTTGAGGAAATGAAAATGTTACATTTACTTATTCTTTCTGTACATAGTACCTATTTATTTAGCAGTATTTCTGCAACCTTCTTCTTTGAATTTATAGCATGTAAGTACTTTTGTCAAATTAGGGAAATAAGGGAAATTAGGGACATAATGACAGCCTTCTTTTCTTATGATACAAGATAATCTGTTTATGTTGTTGCTTCTCCTGTATTGTCTGTTAAGGAGAATGATACATCTGGGAAACCTGTTTGTCTTTGTTGCACCCTAGTATCAAGTGTCTCCAACACAGGATGGGTTACTGGATGCTTTAGGATGGCCTTGGGATTAAGAGTCCAATTCCATACTTCCATATTGTGCTGGCTTAAATCTAATGATTCTAGGAAGGTTATGCCTGATTTACAGAAGCATAAGTGAGATCAGAGCTAAAAAACAAATCCACAGAGCTATTTAGGCATTTACACCTAAGGGATATACTGCTCTATGTTGATATGAATTAGGTGCCTATGTGAATGATTTTAGGACTGCAGAGAACAGATCTAAAAGAGGATTCTTATCTGCAGGCATTTCACGGTTCCATATAATCACACAGACAGTACTGCTCTTGAACAGCATGTTTATGAAAAAAATGTTGATAAAGAAGCAACCAAGCCCTTAAGACAGCAAAGAAATGTGGTTCTGCATATTTAAATAGTTGCAATAAGCATTCTTTGAATAGTGAGTATCTCAATTAATTTAAGTATTGATCTTTTACAAAAAAGATTTGTATATTGGCTAAGGAAAATGTAGAAACTTTTAAAAAAAATTTGATGTTTATCTTCCTGGAAGTTGTTAATAAAAGATCATAAACTGAGATACATATTCCCTAGCACACACTTGTATAATATTGACCAGAATTCAGACTTCAATTAGTTACTTTCTTCATAATTCTGAAAAAGATAAAGTGGTTTAATAATTCCATCTAGTCTGGAGGGAGGCAAAACTGGTAAAGAGAGAGAATATATTCATTAGATTAGATCGTAATGGTGGAAAAAATGGACAAGCTTCCAAGTACATAATGCCTTCAGTGATGCTTCTTCAGAAGAATGAGTTTTGAGATGGTTCCTGAAAAAGATGATCTGGAAAATTACAGGCCTGTCAGCTTGACTGCAGTGCCCAGGAAGCTGATGGAGCAGCTCATTCTGAGTACCATCATACAACACATGTGGGACAACCAGATGCTCAGGCCCAGTCAGCATGGGTTTATGAAAGGCAGGTCCTGCCTGACAAACCTGATCTCCTTCTATGACAGGGCGACCTGCTTATTGGATGAGGGAAAGGCTGTGGATGTTGTCTGCCTTGACTTTACTAAGGCCTTTGACACTGCTTCCCACAGCATTCTCCTGGTGAAACTGGCTGCTCGTGGCTTGGATGGGCACACACTTCACTGCATAAAAAACTAGCTGGATGGCCGGGCCCAAAGAGTTGTGGTGAACAGAGTTAAATCCAATTGGCAACCGGTCACAAGTGGTATCCCCCAGGGCTGGGTTTTGGGGCCACTCCTGTTTAACATCTTTATTGATGATCTGGACGAGGGGATCGAGTGCACCCTCAGTCAGTTTGCAGATGACACCCAGTTGGGTGGGAGTGTTGATCTGCTCGAGGGCAGGGAGGCTCTGCAGAGAGACCTGGACAGGCTGGAGCCATGGGCTGAGCCCAACTGGAGGAGTTTCACTAAGGCCAAATGCCAGGGGCTGCCCTTGGGCCACAACAACCCCCAGCAGCGCTACAGGCTTGGGGAGGAGTGGCTGGAGAGCTGCCAGTCAGAGAGGGACCTGGGGGTGCTGATTGACAGCCGGCTGAACAGGAGCCAGCAGTGTGCCCAGGTGGCCAAGAAGGCCAATGGCATCCTGGCTTGTGTCAGCAACAGCGTGGCCAGCAGGGACAGGGAAGGGATCTGACCCCTGTACTCGGCACTGGTGAGGCCGCCCCTCGATTCCTGTGTTCAGTTTTGGGCCCCTCACTACAAAAAGGACATTGAATGACTCAAGCGTGTCCAGAGAAGGGCAACGAAGCTGGTGCAGGGTCTGGAGCACAGGTCGTAAGGGGAGCGGCTGAGGGAACTGGGGGTGTTTAGTCTGGAGAAGAGGAGGCTGAGGGGAGACCTCATCGCCCTCTACAACTACGTGAAAGGAGGTTGCAGAGAGCTGGGGATGAGTCTCTTTAACCAAGTAATAAGCAATAGGACAAGAGGTAATGGCATCAGGTTGCACCTGGGCAGGTTTAGACTTGATATTAGGAAGTACTTCTTTCCAGAACAGGTTGTTAGGGGTTGGAATGGGCTGCCCAGTGGTGGAGTCCCCATCCCTGGAGGTGTTTAAGGGTAGAGTTGACATAGCGCTGGGGATATGGTGTAGTTGGGAACTGTCAATGTTAGGTTAATGGTTGAACTGGATGATCTTCAAGGTCTTTTCTAACCTAGATTATTCTGTGATTCTTTGAAAGCCCATGGCTGGAATTCCAGGCCTTCTGCTGCAAAGTTAGTTGTCATATCAATGGCCAGTATCACGCCTGGTCATTGATAGGCCACCAGGGTGATAGGCCTGGGCTCATGTTGGCATTTTGGGCTAGTGATGCACAACTCATGGCAACTGGGTGTCTGAAGAGGAGGACTAGGAGAGCTGAGGGGAACAAGAAGGGCGTGATGCTGTGACACAGACAAACAAAGAAGAAAAAAAACATACTAGAGCCACTGTGAGGAAGAACTGGCCAAGGGAAAAGGCCTGTCTGGGGCTACTTGGGGTAATGTGCAAGTCCTAAAGTATTAAGGTGACAGCCAAACTCATGTGTCTGAGGAACAAAGCTACTAATATCTCACTGAGTTAAGTGTCTGGATGTTTTTATGAAGTACATGAATTACAAAATCACAGCCTGTTTTTTTTGTTTTAGTTTTGTTGTTTTTGTTTTTTTTTTTTTCCCCCTGTGGAAGTTAACCCAGAGACACAGCAGCATTTAGCATTGGCCAAGGTAATGTCCTGTTAAATTGCTCCTACCTCTTCTTACAGTAAGCACAGGAAGCAGGGCTGTGATAGCATCTTAATATTTGCTCTGCTGTAGGCAGCTGAGAAAAGCAATACTGACTTACTTTGTACTTGCTCTTTGTAGCTGGAACCACAAACCATGTCATGATTACTACACGATATCTTTTTAACCTCTTAGTGAAAGTAATAAACAGCCTTTACTCGGGGCCTTCTCTACCACAGGAATAGTCTGATTTAAAAAAGACTAGCTTAGTAACACCCTCTTAATTAATAGCAAATGGGAGACCTGCTGTGAATAACTGCTGATGGCCAGAAAGCATATAAAAAGGAAATTAATTCTCTTCTTCAGTCATAAAATCATAGGATGGATAAGGTTGGAAGGGACCTCTGGATGTCATCTGGTCCAGTCCCCCTGTTCAAGCTGGGCCACCTACAGCCAGTTGTCTAATACCATGTCCAGACAGCTTCTGAATATCTCCAAGGACAGAGACTCCACTGCACCTCTGGGCAATATGGGCCAGTGCTTGGTCACCCTCACAGTAAAAAAGTGTTTCATAATGTTCAGAGGGAATCTCCTGTGCTTGAGTTTGTACCCACTGCCTCTGGTCCTGCCACTAAAAAGAGCCTGGCTCCATCCTCTTGGCTCCATCCCTTGAGGTATTTATATACATTGATAAAGTTCTCCCCTGAGCCTTCTCTTCTCCAGGCTAAACAACTCTGGCTCTCTCAGCCTTGCCTCATATGTGAGGTGCACCAGTCCCTTGATCAACTTTGTGGCCCTTTGTTGGACTCTCTCCAGTATGTCATGCCTCTTGTGCTGAGGAGCCCAGAACTGGACACAGCACTCCAGGTATGACCTGAGTAGAAGGGAAAGATCACCTCCATTGACCTATTGGCAATACCTTGTCTAATGCAGCCCAGAATATCATTTGCCTTCTTTGCTGCAAGGTCATAATGTTAGCTCATGTCCAACTTGGTGTTCAGTTCATGTCCTTTTCTGACAAGCTGCTTTCTAGCTGGGTGGCCCCCAGCATATATTGGTGCATAGGGCTGTTCCTCCCCAGGTGCAGGACTTCGCACTTCGCCTTGTTGAACTTCATGAACTTCCTGTCAGCTCATTTTCCTGTGGCCTTGTTAAGAGTCCAGCAATAACTGGGATATCCAAACAGCCTAAGTGGTAACACCAACACAACTGCCAGCACCAGACAGGATGGCTTTTTCTGCTCTTTACTATATATGATTGCTTAATTTATTTTTTCCCCTGCTCAATATCTAGTCCAAGTATTCATCTCATGTATTAATTCAATAAGTGTAGTGAGATCAAGAATTGAGGAACTCATATTTAAGCCTTAAGGAGGCCACAGCCCCTTTTCCTTACTATCATGTGTGGGGAACACAGATGGTATCCAGTTTCGACCCTGTGTTCTCAGTACCCAAATCACATTTATTGGAACATGCAGGTATTTGTACAAGGTTTAGAAACACTTCACTTTGTATATTTTAGAGCCATATGACACAGCCTAGCTTCCCTGAAGCACCTTTCTTCTTAAGAAAGAAAGTTCTCTAAAATCAGCCAGATGTCTTTTTTCCATTCTCAGATACAGAGAGTAGCACTGTAATTGCAAGAAGGGGGCACTTACTCAGTATTGTGTGTATCAATGGTGTGAAAAAGTTCATGCAGTTCTTCTCCACTCAGAACTCCATCAGCAAAGTAAGCTTTGAATTCATCAAAGGACAGTTTTCCGTCATCTGAAACAATGAAGAAATGGAAAATGCCTTAGTTTCGTTTATGATTTTGCTTGTTTTACTTCATGTAGTTGAAGCGGAAACTACTAAAAACCTCTAGGTCTTCAGATTAAATGTAGAAACTTTACATATTTAATCAAGACACATAAATATCATGATGCTAAATGCATTGGCTGTTTTATCAGAGTTCTCAGTTTTCTTGGTAGCTGTTACTGTTCCACCTTCTTATCTTTCAATCAAAGATAGTTTGGTTTTGGTAAGTCTCTACTGACAAACACATCACTACAGTCCTGTCTTTGCCCTGATGTCATTCATCATGGCTTCTCCTCATCCTGCTGTATGCTTCTCCTACTTAGTCCCTGTCCGTGTCCTCGCCTCTGCATGGAAGATCAGTGACCTCCTGAGACTGAGTGGGGCAGAGAAAATCCAGGGAAATGCAAAAGCAAACATTTATTGAAGGAACATATTAGTTCAGTGAAAATGTCTTCAGCTATCTAGAGCTATTAATTTCCCATTTGTTTTCCTCCTCCTTTCTTTCCTCTCCATATGGGAGACTGAGACTCAAGTGCCCAATTCAGTAGTAGCAGGGGTCTGACCCTGGCTTTCCTCTCTACCTAATCAATACACTGCACTGGTTTGCAGCATTTTGATTCTCTTCCTAAAATACATATTTCTCAAAAAGCTCTATGCTTGGTGTGTAATTAACAAAATAATTTTTTTAAAAGTTTGATTTTCATGGAATAGGAAGCAAGCTTCGTGTCTTCTTCCACTGGAAAGAATTGCAGCTCATTTTCTTGGTCAGCATAGAAAATAGTAAATATCTATTTGCCAGCATGCAATTCATCTGGAGATTACATAAAAATACAGAAATGAGAAAACTGTTTTAGACATATATGAGAGGTCAGTGAAAATCTTCAGATGGATTTTCAGATGGAGTTTGAATTGGTCATTTAATATACAGTGAAGCCCAATTATGAAGAAGTTGACTTTATTTTCTAAGTATCTGCTGTTCTCATTTGTTTGGGACAAAACCAATCATCAGCACACGGGTCCTCATCATCATCAATAACATGTCTGCAGTGAGTGGAAGTGTCTGCAGGACTAATGCTCAGAGGGAGGGGCAGTACCATATGGTAACATTTAGAAGATCAGTAATGGGATGTACATAAGTCAAAGGAGAAAGTTCATATTACAATCTCTACTACATTCTTTAGTGGAGTCTGTTTCATCTGTTTCTTAAGTCATCTGTAATTATAACGACCTTTAACTATATGATGCAAAATCCTTGAGATGAGATGTGTTAAAATGAACAGATTAATTCATCTGGTATTTTCAGCATGTTATCACTTCAGATTGAGGTTCTATCCTCCTTCTGTTAGATCAAACTGCACAACCATCAATGCTTTCTAAAGGGTATTCCAACAACTCCTACAACATTCATTGAAGAAGGGATCACTGTATCTCACCTCACTTACACATGTCTGATAATCCCAAAGAAGTTACTATACTTCAGATTTTCCATGTTTGTTTTGGTTTTGGTTTTTTTTAATTGTGAAAAATGGATAAAATGTGCCACAATTTGGAAAGCTCATCCCACCCACAGGGTGGCTGTGGCTGCAGGGACAGAAGTGGCAGACTTGGGCTACTCTATGTTCTGGAAAGTAGGACTCTGGGGCGCAAGGACCATTAGACTTTGTTAACTCCAGCCTCTAATCATATCACAATGACTATGTAAACAATATATGACAGTCAGTACAATTAATTTTTTTCCTGAGTATATGATTCAAGGCTGAGGAGAAGGTGATGTGAGAAACCAACCAATGCCTGTCAGCAGGATGTTAAAAAAAAAAAAAGTTTACAAATGGAAAACTGACTGCACAGAAGTCCACACGATTTCACTGGGGATCCCTCAGCAACAGCTGACATTTGTTTCTGTCCTGAAGAACAACTGTCCCTTTTCTTTGCTGTACAGACATGACTTCAGAATTACATGGGATGAGGCAAATCCATAACTTTATTAAAACAGTTAGGACAAGTGATTCCTCATTGACTAGTGTAGTGAGTTTTAAATGCAAGACTGATAATCAGCACACAAAAGCCAAAGAAAGAAGATTCACCTTTTGCTTTTATTTAGAAGAGGCTTGAATGGTTAAGCGGTAGTTAAGTAATAATTTATCTAAACTGATTGGGCCTTTGTATGAAGGATAAAGAATATTTTCAAAGCCTAACACTTCATAAATCTGTTTTGGGTAGCACTAAATTTAAGTTCACATGTCTTTTTCTCTTCCTTCAAAAACATACTGAATCACTCATAAGGCACAAAACAACTGTAGAGGAAAAGACTAAGATGTCCTAGGCACCAGACTAATCTACAACATATTGTGACCTAATTTTATAGTGGTGAAGAACCTATTACAAAGGCACTATTTCAGTGCTGTAACTACATGCTGTACTACAGCATGCAGAGGAGTTTCCTCACTCTTTTACTTGTTATTATTTCATAATTTCTTTGACTTGAATATATGGCTTCAAATATGTAACCTTCAAGAGGTTTCAAAATCGCACAAATTAAATGTCTGCTTCAGCAAAAACATTTTGAAATGTTTAATATGAAAAGACAGATTGTAGCTGGAGATAATCATCATTACGATCAAAATAAAATGTCAGCATCTACAAGAGCTAAAAACCAAGATGGCACAATACTGTGTTGAAGGTAGGCAATTTTCTTTGACAGAGCTGCCATAATTACCTAAATGAGAATCTAAATACATCTGCCATTTGGCACTGGTTACAGAGAAGGAATATCAAATATTGAGCATGTTGAAACAAGCTTCTTTTCACAGCTCTGCTTCCTTTGGCTCATACAGATACAATTGATTGTTTAATCAAACTGCCTCTGCAGCTTGAGCCTTTGCTGGGAAGAGTTGATTTGCATGCAAGTTATACACATACCCAAGAAACTAGTGATTTTTGGCAACTTTCCTGAGATAAACATGTTATGAGTTTACTCATAGAACAGTCTGGGTATGACACAAAACCTGAAACATCTGTCTGTTTATCTCTGCTCTTCAGGATCATTGGCTTTACGTCAATCTAGAAAATCAATGATCTGCCAACAGCCAGATTGGGCACTTCAGCTATTTTCTTTAAATTTTATCATCCAAGAGCAGACATAGCCTTTTGCTTCATTGCTATTTATTCTCAATAACATTTTGAATGTTATTGATATTGACTGACACATCACTGAGCTTGTTGCTGGCATAACCCAAGGAGGTTTGAACCTATTCGGTTACTTACAGACTTCATACAGTATGTTTACTGAAAAAAACTCTGATTTTCCAGGGCACTTCTCTGATTTTATATGTGTAACTGTTTTGCAGCTTGGGATTCAGTCTCTGGTCGTGCAGGCCACCCCTGCACTTCCTCAGAGCTCAGAGGAAGCTTAGACCCAACCCCTAACAAGTGCTCCTTGTGCTGTTTAAGAGAAAACACATTTGTCTAGCCAGGGATTTTTAAGTGTCAAGAATGACTTTTATTTTAAAGGCTATGCTATATATCCTCATCACTGCCTTGCTGGAGCACACCTTGCTGCCCTTGGAGCACCCAGATAAATACTGTCTGGTTTAAGCACTTCAGAATAGCTGAGCAGAAACCTCTATTATAGATGCTTCAATCCTTGCCACTGGCAAAGTGACAGGGGATGGATGATTCATGAAAGACAAACTTCTCGAAGCCACGCATCCCTCAGACATATCAACCTTCAGCAGCGTTTGCCTTGGCAATGTTATCTCAAAGAAGCTGGTTTGCAAGCCTCACTTGCTTTGTGTATCATCTCTGATGTCTTTCAAAAGCAGGGTTTCTTCAAAACAAGCACAGTTACCCATCCTCCTCAGAGTCAAAACACTCCTGACTGGCAGACAAATAGATGAACAATGAAATTAATCTTCCTATGCAGCACTTAAAAGTTCAGAAATATATTTGCATGGTGGTTTAGAGGAGCCTTCATTTGGGTTACAACTGCATTCTTACATTTATTTCAGTAAAATTAATCTCTGTTGAATAGATGTTTTTATGTGTGAAACAGGCCCAAGTGACATCCCTCAGACATTCTGCTCCAGAAACACTTGTAATCTCCAGGAAACATTTTGGATAGCTTATTACTTCAATAGACAAAGCATATCTGACAAAAGAAAGCCATACACATACTCTCTTTTTGAGTTGAAAGATGACTTCAGTGAGTGAAAAGATATCAAGCAAATAATGAACAAGGGCACATATATATATTTGGAGTCTATATGCCCAAAGATGATGATGGCAAATGGTGAGTCTGCTGGCAGTGAAGGAAATTATGGTGATGTAGAGGAGCAGGATGTCTTGCAGAGATGCCAGCAAATGCTGGAGGGCAACAAAACACTTCCACTCCCACCTATTACGGACTCTTTGTTAGGACTGTGAGCCTCTCCTAGCAGTTAAACGTGCCTGTGAGCTCCATGGAGGACCACCAAAGCAGTCTGTACATAGTAGGAGTGGAGCTCCTATGGCTGAGTGGCAGCCCTAGGGCTTGTGTCAACTGGAAGAGCCACAAGGAAGAGCTTATGACAATTGGAGGGAAAAAAAACACTGGACTAGATCTCATTCTGGGTTCACCTTGGTGGGACAGGATTTGGAAAGCAGAGGCCATGGCACGGTCCTGGCCCAACCAGACATGCATAGTGGCAGAGCAGTCAGGTTATTTCAGGTCTGGGGCTCTACAACCATAGTCCTCTGCCCTTGTAGGGCAAAAATTAGCAAAGGGAGAAAAGATAACAACAAGTGAAACCAATAAATAGAAAAATCCCCTGTGGCAGAAAGTATTTATTTCCCAGGAAGGTACAGCAGAGACTAGGAAATGATAGTGCTCAAAATGAAGCAGTCACTTCTGTCATAGGAAAGGCAAAGGTCAAAACCACAGCCCCATCCAGGACCCCCAAGTTCTCAATGGGAGCTGACTTTCTAAATCCCTT